ATGTTTTTTTAATCCATGATCACCCCATAGCTTATATTTACAAGGGGTTTTACTAAAAGTTGTAAAATATCTTTTACATATAATTAATTTAGATTTATGTTTTGTCTTTTGACTACGAATAAGTCTACAAAAATTATTGATAAAACAATAATGTGATTTTTCCCCATTCTTAACCAAAAGCAGATGAAGGGTTAAGGGGGAAAAACGATAATAGTCAATATTCCTAAAATATTCAGTATTGCAATTTTAAACTTTCAGAACCCAATAAACGTAGAGATCAAGTATAAAATAATTCAAAAAAATTTATTTTAGTGATATAACTTATTTTAGATACAATGAATCAAAAAAATATTAAATTTACATTTTAGATTTTAAGAAAAAAAAAATTGAAAAAAAAAAATATTGACATTGATCTTTTCTTCCCGTTATTGATCTTCATTTTCATCGATTGGTGTATTATCTGCATACTCCACAATGTCTTCATCTCCATCTGCTTCATCTGACTTAAGTGCGTCATAGAATTTTTGGGCATCCTGGTTGGTTAAAAACTGTTTTAGGTGTAGTAGGTCTTTAAGTTTTGATTTTTTTATTGGAAGAGGACCATCGTATAGAGGACGTAGAGTAGTGTTTTTATTTTTTAGTTTCCTTTTATTTGTGGGGCGAGTGATGACAGCTGATAAGTAAGGCCCATTATACATAGACTTGTGGTATATAAATCGAGATTTACTTTCCTCAATAAGTAACACTCGAATGGGTCTCGTTGGAATTGGGCATCTTGTTGGGTATAAATCTGAGAAATAATCTGTCCATGTCTTGAACTCGACTTCAATGGCACAGTCAATAACATTAAATGGTGTTGGTTTTTGACGGCTCTGTAGAAAGATATTCCTCCAGTCATCAGGTAGTTCAGCATAAGATTTAGAATTAATTTTTCCCATATCTCTATCGCATTCCAAATACGAATGACCACGAATTGGGAACACCATTTTTATGCTATCAAAACGTTTCTTTTTACAGATCATATAATGAAAAAATCTTATTATAGTGTAATTCTTGTTCTGACCTGCACATGAATCACAAAAAATAATTAATTGTTTGACTTTCGGATCCAAAATTTTGGAAAAATAATGTTCAAGCATTGAACATACGTCATCTGCTCCTTTTCGTGCGACAGTTTCATCATACGTGTACAATATTGAAGATTCATCTGACAAAACGTGTACATTAAAGGAAATAAAGTTTAACTGTCGACGATAATACACATCATTAGTAGTAATATTGGGTATTGGAAGATTTCTCTGGTAGTCCATAACTATAGCTTCTAAATCAGGAGTCTTTTTTGCTACCCTCCTATACCTCCTTTTCAGTTCATAGAACTTATCGCCCTTTCTTTGGTGTAATTCATGTTCTACTGACTTTTTTTTTAATGTTTTATTTAAACTATTTTTTGTATCATTATCTACGCAAGTAGCGATCTGGTTTTCTATTAGTTTTATTTCAGCTTTGTAAACATCACATACACTACAAGTATCTTTTCGAGGGTACCCAAATGATATATTAAATTTTTGTTCGAATATGTCACGGAAAGTTGTATAACCTACTATATTTGCAGGATGTTTGTCATTATAAAACGTGTGAAGTTTTTTAATATTTAATTCTTCCGGGAGATACAGTTTTTCACTATCCTTGGGTGAGTAATGGGATTTTCTACCTTTCAAAGATTTTATGAAATCAAAAACTTTTGTCTTGGTGTCATCAGATAACTTATGCGGTCTGTTAGAATGTTTTCCGCGATTATCAGTGCCAACTACACCAGAAATAAGCAATTTTTTTTTTATTGTTTGAACACGACGATTAGAAATACCATGGATACTTAAAAAAGCTTTATAACAAATAACAATATCTTGCAACGCACCATCGACATAACTGCGCAAACGATAACTATAAGAGGAATCATTAAAATTTGCTTCGTTCGGATCCTTCCTACTTCTACGTTGTACAACAGGTTGAATCGTAATCAAACCCCCAAGATACTCATTTTGGCGGTTGACTCACCTAAATTGTTGAAATGTTTGATGATTCTATTTCTTTCTTCAGGAGAAATAACTTCGAAACATTTATACCTCTTACAAAGACAGTCACTCCCTAACTCGTTGGACGTTGCACGAATTTTTTTCATTACCTCACTCAATCTTCCGGTTTTTTTTCGTTTTTTGACCCGATTAGCATTGTCCTTTTCAGATTCTGCACTAGAATCACTAAAACTGGTGTCCATTTAAAAAAAAAAAACTTAGCACTTGTCCGTTTTTATGAAAAATAAATACTAAAACACGTGGGACGTAAAATATGATCAAATAATACTGTTATAACAATATCATTTCACTGTAAAATCGTCGTACGTACTGCAGTCTGCAGATAATATTATATCAAAACGCAACAAGTACATAACAACGGTCGTTATCGATGTGATTAATAATAAATACTGGATAACAAAATTACGTACTAAAATTAAAAACCATACACATGACTATGATCGTTTTTCCCCGTTTCCGCTCGGACTCTGATCTTTTTTTCCCGTCATGATAATATTTAAACCAGGGACTGGAACCTACAGGGTTTTTCGGTTCCGGTTCCGGTTCCGGTTATTAAATTAATTTGTTTAAGGGTTTCGGTTTTGTTCCGGTTTTCTAAAAAAATATAAGGGTTCTAGAACCGGTTAATACCGGTTCTGAAAAATACCGGTTATTTTCGGTTAATTATGATTTCTGACTATTAAAGATTTATTAAAAAAAATAGTATAAAATAATTTAATTATTCTTGTTTAATTTGTAATTATTTCATGAAAATAGAAGGTATTATGAAGGAATAGTTAAAAATTAATTATAAAGATATATAATATTTATAAATATTAGCCTATGATCTATAGGAAAATAAGATAATGATGTAAATATTTCTGTGGGTTAAGTTAAGCTATTTTATTCCATCACATAGTAAGAATTTCTAAAATATTAAGTAATATTTCATTTTTGTAATATTGTGAAATATTATGATTTTATGAAATATATATTTTTAATTTTAATTAGGAGACAAAGTTGACACTGGCTATTGTTAATTGTTATAACCATTGTAGGTGGGTATATACTATATACTATATTGTGATTTGTAATATTTATATTTTGTAATTTGTACATTTGTACTGATCTAAGGTATCAGACCAGAAAAGTGTTTTGCTAGAAAAAAAACTTAATACTTAATAGACAATATACTCATTGTAATATAAACCCCTATGGGGCCTATTCTCAAATCAATCGAAATTGGTTGTCGAAAATATTTATTCGATTGTCAACTTTCGATCGAAATAATTGATTCGATTTCAAATTTTCGATCAATCGTATTCTCAAACATTTATCGAATCTTGATGAATCGAATAAATTTTATTCGACAGTGTTTCCGATCATCGAAAAAAGTTATTTTTTTTTCCATGAAATTTGAAATTGTTATCTTATTTTATGATAGTAAAGTTCATATTATAATAAAAATTAAAAAATCTTATAGGTAGGTAGTCTTACAGACTACAGTTTAAACCTACATTATACTTATAGTTTTAAACTAGTATTGGATCATAAGCGATTAAGTGATTTGCATTATGGCTGATAGAAAAACAAAAGGAAAGTCTGTGACTTATGCACAGAAGGAAGCTCTTGTTGAATTCTTAGAGAACAATGTACAACTAAAAAAAGGTAAATTCAACTCACAATTTACCCACAAAAATGCGCAACAACTTTGGGAACAAATAACTTCAAATTTAAATTCCATGATTGGTGCAAAGAAAACGGCAGATAAGTGGAGAAAGGTATTGACAAATATTAATTAACAATAAGTATTTCATTAGTTACTAATTATTGTTTAACATTTTATTTGTTACACAATTAGTGTTGGACTGACATGAAATGCAATGCAAAAACAAAGAGCGTGGATCTAAAAAAAAATTTAAGAAAAACTGGGGGAGGAAGTGGAAAAACAGATGAATTAGAATTAGCTCCATTAGAAGAAAAAATTGCTACTTTAATTGGAGATGTCCCCATTTTTGGCCACCCTAATACAGTGGAACCTTCAATTACTTTTGAGGGATATGAAGTTGTTATGGATTCTACTGATAATATTTTGCTGTAAGCATTAACTGTATTTTCTTTTATTACAACATTTGTATATATTCTATTAAGCAATAACTATTATAGTACATAGCACCAATAAAAATTAATATTTGATAGGTCAACTGAAATATTACCACCGGAAATTCAATCATCATCAAATGATTTTTTGCACAACAACATGGAAATGTAAGTGTTTAAATCATTATAATACTATAAATTATAAATGTAAGTATAATAAATCATGAACTCATTTTTATATGAACAAAATTAATGTTTTATAGGCCAACTACAAATGAATTACTAAATAATGACATTGATATGTAAGTGTTTAATATTTATTGCTTATTTTATATGTACAAAATAAGTTTTAATTACTATTTTTATGCTTATAGATCTCAAAAGAATGAAGTTGGTATTAAATTCACTAGTAAACAAAGGTATTATTTTCATGAGTTTATATGAACATTACATTGTTTTTACTTAAAAACATTATTGGTTGTATAAATGTTTTGTTGCGGTGTGCCGTGTAAACTTTGTATTGCATTAATATTATTAGTATTAAGTGCTAAGTTTGGTACCTAACAATCTGTAATTTTAAGTACCTATGTCAATTCATTTTAGTGCAATTTGAAATTGTTCTATGCATCTTTTTGTAAAAAGCATATAAAATCATATAATGATATTCATTGATTATTATGGCATATTTTTTTTATTTTTTTAATAGAATATAAGGAGAATATAAGTTTAGTTTTTTATATTATAAGACATGTCCTGTTTACACAAAATCATATATTTATTGATATTAAATTTGATAATAATGCAATTAAGTGATTTTTGTAAAATATTGGACATGTGCCCTTTCTATATTTAACCTTAACGATTCTTATATTATATTACATTATGTGGGTATTCAATTAAACCTTTTCTAGTAAACTTAATATTCTACAAAAATCGGTCAATGCTTCTATTCAAGTTGGCAATACAATTGATGAGAGGAATACAATTCTAAAAGATTATTGCTCTAAAAAGTTAGTTCTTTTAGAGAGAATTGCTATTGCAAAAGAAAAAAAATTAGCAATAATGGAGAAAAAAATGAATATGCAGATTAATGCAGATAAAAATTAATCATTAGTATTTATAAGTTTATAACATTTTGTTAAAAAATATTTTATTTTATTGATTGTTACTATATGTATTATGTATATTATTATTACATTGTATTGAAAAAATTGTTTTTTTTAGTTTAGTTTTAATTTTGTGATACTGAAACTAATATAATCAGACTGAATATAAGATACTTTTATTTTTTATGTTGTTATTCTGCAAAGTTTTTTTTTATAAGATTTGTTTATTTAAATGTATATAATATAAATTGTTATTTCTTACACTATTGGTATTTTAATAATTTGTGAATTTTCTGGACTTATTGAAAATATAAATCAATGATTGTTTGTTGCATCCGTTTTCCAGCAGTGAGTTCTGGATTAATTCTGTTGACTATTTGTTCAACTTCGGGATCATTGTCTATATTACCTAAATCTATATCAGTCAAGTCTTCTATATTTCTAATTATTGGTATGTTATTAGAAATGCTAATATTATGTAAAATGGTACATGAGTTAATTATACTGGCAGCTTTTTCTAGTGAGTAGTGAAGTACCCTATGTTTAAGTAAGCATCTAAAATAGATATCAAAAAGTAAATAGCCCTATTAATTATTACATTTATCATTTTTATACTATTATATATAAATTTACCTAAACCGCATTTTAAGAACACCATTACAACGTTCAATTATTGATCTTGTTCTGCAAAACCATTTATTATAGTTAGCTTCTGGAGTGTTTGGTTGTGGTTGATACAATGGAGTCAATAACCACTGTCTCAATGGATATCCAGAATCACCTGCCAGTATAATATATTAAAAACTTTAAAAATGTTGTTAACAATAAAAAAAAATTGAGATTGTGTACCTAGTAAGAAGTATGATGTTTGTCCAATTGCATGTAACTGTTTCATAAGGCCTTCTACAGGGCTAAGACGCCAAATATGACTGTCGTGCGTACTCCCCGGAAATTTAGCACATACATTTAAGATCATTAAATCGGAATCACATATCTAATGAATTTTTTTTAATAATATACCTTCCAAATATAAATAATATTTTATATTTTATAAACTCACAAGTTGTGTATTTATGCTATGATAGCCTTTCCGGTTGACATATATATGTTCTGGATATACATCATCGGCGGTATTGGGTGGTACAATAGCCACATGAGTTCCATCTATAACTCCAATAACTCCTGGTATTCCAAATTTGTTGTAAAATCTAAATCATGTATTACCTATATATACTTAATACTTAAATTAAGAAAATAAAAAAATTGAATTACCCTTGTCGAATAATGTTAAGTTGTTCTATAGTGCTTGGGAAATGTATGTATTTATTTAATATTATAGGATTATTTAATGCTTCTGCAACTTCAGTAATACATCTACTAACTGAGGGTTGACTAAGGGCTGCGCCTCTGTGTTCCCCAATATCCTGCTGATAACTCCCACTAGCAAAAAATCTTAGAGCTGTTAATACCTTAAATGAAAATATTTTTTTATTATTATTTACTAAGTCATTAGCAAAACTAATAGTGCCTAATCTCAATAACATAGGCGCAACTAGGGGGAGGGCTAAGTCCCCCCAGTTATCCAAATAGCCCACCACAGTTTTTTGTTTAAAAATCGACTGAATTACTTAACAAAATTGTGAAGAAGCGTCCCCCCTCACAAGCATTGTTACCTTAGTTGCGCCTATCCTCAATAATCAATAGTTAGCAACTAACTTTTCTTTTTATAGTTATCCCAGAAGACGTCATTGGACTATTCATGTAAGGAGTCAATGTATCTATAAGTTCTTCAACTAATTGCTTACTTAAACGATAAGTACCAATAAACTTCCGATCTGACAATTCTGAAAGAAAAAATATGTTTGGTTCCAAATTTAAATTAGTTAACAATATAAAATTAAAAGAAAAGGATTTTAGTAAGTCCGCTTAATAAATTGATATGAATAATAAACTATCTATTTGTCCTTTGTTATAAAAATATTAGTTATAATAAAGGTTGGACCTACCAACAAAAGGATCTTCTTGTTTTAATATTCGTCTTGGTTCATTATCGTCAATAAAATTGACGATTTCCATGTTTACTATGCCATTCAATTGCATATACATTTCTAAATCGTCATCAACAAATGCCATAACTAACACTAGTATAACTATTATCGGTAATAGAAAAAATGAATAAGAAAGTTCAAAGTATTTTAAATCGGCAATGAAATAAAATATATTTAACAGTTTAACAATATTAAACACTGATTAACAATGGAATTAAATTGGAAATTATGTGTCGAAAACCGTTTTCGACTCATAATCCGCTGTCGTTGTAAATAGTCGAAAACTACTATCGAATTAACAGTCGAAAACCGTTTGAGAATAGTCTTTTTTGTAAATGTCGAAACCATCAGTCTTTTCGACTGATTTTCCATCGAAAACTGTTTTCGATACCTTTGAGAATAGACCCC